TTAATAAGGCTTGATGAATTCGGATTTAATAATAGATAATGAACCATCAGGTAAATCAAGTTTGTTTATTAGCTTGTAAATTAGCTAATAGTGTATTAAGGTACAAGAACATTTTACATACAAGGAATAGAACGAAGCGAAGGCACAATTTTAGCTACTTACGATAAATTAATATTATATATAATGACATATGAACAGTCAGATGGAACATCTAAATTACTCTTATCAGAACCAACTTCATTTGAATCACCTTCACGTGAACTACCTTTACCTTTGTTCAAGCCACAAATTAGAGTATCAAAGGAAATTATTACTTTTGAACAACCTGAACAATCTGGACAATTCGAACAATCTGGACAATCCGAACAATCCGAACAATCTGAACAATCTTTCTCTTTAGTTGAAATCCCAAAAATTGGTATGAAGTTTGATTCATGGGAACAAATAGATAGATATATGGATACTTATTGTAGTTCACAATATTTTTTAAAAATTATTTATGGAGCAGAATATGATGGAAAAATGTGAAGACGTTGTAGATATCAATGTGAGTTTCAAGGACAGTATAATGGTAAAAAAAAAATGATCGCTAAAGAACAACGTGATACAAGATCTAAACGTAATGGGTACCTGTGGTTTGTAAATGCCACATGTCCTAAAATGAGTGGTGAAATTAAGATTACCTCTATTTCTCTAAAACATGGTGACCATCCTCTAGACCCTCTTGCCAATAAATTTGGCACTATACATAGAACATTGACTGAACCTATATTGGCAGACATAGAGTTCTGAACTACCAAAGGAAACCTTAACATGTATACACAGCGCCAGCTACTTATAGCAAAGTACGAAAATGTATTTTTTTATCTCAAGATTTATCAAATACAATCCAGAAAATAAAAAAAGGACAGCAAATTGAAGATGAAGCTGCTACTTTAATTACTTACCTTCTTGAACGCAAGGCTGAGAATATAAGATGGGTTGTAAATTGGCGTATAGATCCGTCAACAAATTCTTTAACAAGCTTATTTTGGATGACACCGGAACAATATGATCTTTATATCCAATACAGAGATGTAGTACAATATGACAATACTTACTCAACCAATCGGTTTAAAATGGCACTTGGACTATTCATAATTGTAGATAACAATAATAGGTCTCGATTGATTGGACAAATATTAATGGCCGATGAAACATCAGAAAGTTTTGAATAGGTATTTAGTTCTTTGGTTCAAGCTACAGACATTTTCCCTTCAGTTATTATAACGGATAGTGATCTGGCCATTGATGCCGCAGTTGCAAATATAATGCCAAATACATATTATATTCACTGTATCTATCACATTGGACAGAATATTATAAAAAATCTAAAATCTAAATTGGGATCACAATATGATGAGTTTTTAAAAGCATGGTATCAAATGAGAAACATGCCATCTTTAAGTGAATTTGAACGTCTTTGGGATTCTTTTCTTGAAAATTATCCTGATGCGGTTCCTTATCTTAATAGATCACTTGAATCTTAAAAAAAACAATGGGCACTTGCTTATATTTCACGTACTTTTACGGCTGGGTTGCAGTCTACACAAAGGGTTGAGGGACAGAATGCAATAATCAAAAGTACGATTAACAGCCACACTTTGATTATTGAACTTTTTAAGAAACTTGATGCACACTTTATTAGTATATCTTCTACTATTCAATATCGAAATTGGTCACATTCTATAACTAGTTCAACTCTTACACATACAAGCCATGATTTTTCACCTATAATTGATAAGTGGATTGGTGATTATCTAACACCTGCCGCTCTCTCCATGCAAAGACAAGAAATAGCTCAAGCAATTTGGTATGTTTTTACTGTTTTAAATCTTATTGATTTAAGATAGTATATCGTGAATTAAATACTAATTTAGAAATATGAATTTGTATAGATATACTTCTCAGTTAGTAAATAAAGATAACACTTTTGAAATAGGGTATAAAGATGAATTACCTAGTACTAGTTTTGCAGAAGATATCGTCGACATTCCATTAATACTTCTAAAAGAGCTAATTCCAGCTAATTGTTACGATGATGTACTTGAAATATGGAAACTTGTTCATTATAAACATAGTAAAAAAATTACGTAGTTCTTTTTAATGATCGATCTCATCTTTGTATATGTCTTTGTTTGGTTCGACGTGGCATTGTTTGCCATCATTTTTTTCGCCTTTTAGGAAATTCAACTCATGTAAAGTTTCATATAATTCTTGTTTCAAAACGTTGGTACAAAGATGAAAAACAAGTTGAACCTACCTCAACTCTTCAACAACAATCTTTTACTGATAGTTTTCAAGAATCTTCTACAACAAATCTAGATGAAGTACTTTTAGAGATATATTATAAGATCCCTGATATTTCTTATAAACATATTTATAAGTCTTTAAATCAACGAAAAGAATATATAAAAGCTAATGGGCTTTCTAAAAAAGCAATTCAAATAGGATTAAATGCAGGACCTTTAGCACTACAAGAGTTTAGCGATTTTATGGAAAATTTTATAAAGAGACATACCCCGAAGTGTGTATCTAATCAAGAATTAACTTATAAAAATGTTAAAAGAAGGAAGAAATTGGTTGAGTTACACGATTCTAATAATTCCGAAAATTCTGATTCAGATTATAATAATAAATCATCCTCTCAAAACTATGATGATATTGAGAATATAGATCTATCTTTAATTCAGAATCCCGTTGTTCGTTCAAAAAGAGGTGTGCTATACAAAACATGTTTTAAAGAGTCTCAAAAATTAAAACCTAAGACTTCAGAGCAAAAGCCAACAGAATGTCAACAATGTCATAAGTCTGGACATAATAAAGCGGGTTGTGAAAAATGGCACAAAAAGAATCAAATTTCTTATCCTTTTTAAGGGTGTTCTTAAAGAATTACCCACGTGCATTTTATTAATGATTGAATATTATATGTATTTGCATTCTATGTTTATTGTATTTAACACTTAAACCAATTTAGTTATGTGAAATTTAGTTATATATTACAATAAGTCTGCATTTTTAAAATTATTAAAACGATAATTTAATTAATCTGGCCTATTTTGATTATCATAACATACTACCTTTAGATGTTTGGTAAATTAGTTCAAATAGATATACGAAAGTTATACTAACATAGATTTGTAAAATTTAATTTTATTAGTAGTTAGATTAGGATGTTTGCAAGTATTATTCTTATGTGCTAGGGTCAGGGCAGGTTTATAGAAAAAAGCTCTAATTTTAAAGAATTTTCCTTTTTAAATCATATGTAGTACAGTCAGACCTCTCTAAGCACACCCTCTATAAGTACACACTCAAGTACTGGCCCAAATATATACTTGACCTCTATAAATGCACTTTTTCTTATTATTTTCTATATGCACGCTATTAAAGTGTGGTCCCAAAGGCGTGCACTTAGAGAGGCTTGACTGTATCATAATTTCTAAATGTTTATTCTAATTGTACTCATATATTGTATGCTAAATATTGACTATTAAATCGATACAATAGATAACTCGTCTGAGAGTACAAGTTGTGTGCATGTAGCTAATTTAGAAATATGCTCTACGAGATGACTGCCTAGGTGCGAGCAAAGCGAGCACCGTATGGCAACTATATAATTAGTTTAGTTTATGTTTGCTTTTATTACGTATTGTTATAAAATCGGGTAAAGCTAGTTTATTCTTATTTTAATGTAATTGTATTGTTACGTAATTGCGGTAATGGTCGCCATTGGTTGTAGTTAGTAAAATTCTTTTCGTATAGTACTACTTTACTATATATATTACTTTTAGTGATTAAGCAAAACTAAATTATACAGTACTATGTATGCCATGGGTATTAAATCGAGCTTTAATTATAGCAAACCTTATACAGTCAGATCTCTCTAAGTGCACGCCCTTGGGACCACACTTTAATAGTGTGCATATAGAGAATAATAAGAAAAAGTGCATTTATAAAGGTCAAGTATATATTTGGGCCAGTATTTGAGCGTGCACTTATAGAGAGTGCACTTAGAGAGGTCTGACTGTATCTTGTGAACTAGCAAATAAATACAGGAATCGAACTGTATAAGATTATTCGTATTTGTTTACTAGTTTACAAGATATAAGGTTTACTATATTCAGATTCATTAAAATACTTCTATTTTCCTTATGCATCTTATAGTTTAAGCGAAAATAAAATCACTATACTCAGTATTATCGTTGGTTTACCTTTAAATCATTGAAAAGTACCTGTGATCGTTTCATTTTATGTTATACAACCTTTTGACAGTACAACAGTATCATTATTTTGCCTTACACTAAAGTTGTTGAATAGCATACTGTTAAATTCTTCTAATATACTATAGCGATAAGAATTTAATAATATACTATGAACACACTATTGCATTCAAACTTATACTTATGCAGCAGTGTCAGATTTAAAAGATGAAATAAATAATGCTGCGAATATCAAACAATGCTATCAATAAGTACTTTTGAGTTTATCGATTATTATATAAAATTGTGCAATAACGTCATTTGATTACTAGTACTAACAACTCAGCCTAAACTACGCTATTATCTATATAACTTAAGTCGTGCGCTTAATCATGTGACATTATGACTACAATAATATCGCTAGGCTCCAAACTACTTTAATTCACAATATATTATAGGTTAATTTTCTATAGACTGTCACATGATAAATTATGGTTACATAATATCATGTGACAATATATATATATTATTATAGTATATAATATATATATATATATATACTATATATTATATATAGGCTACATATAGCCATGACTACAAATAAATTTTTCCAAAATTTTTATTAAGAATTCGAATACAGTCAACTCTCTCTAAGTGCATGTTCTCTAAGTGCAGGTTCTCTCTATCTGCAGAAAAATAGCTTGGTTTCAAGTTAGGACTTATAAAATAAATATATGTTTTATATTATCTAAGTGCAAGTTATTTTTTAAAATATATATATAAAAATATTTTCTCTAAATGCATTTTAATATATTAGCCAATTAAATTTGAAAATATTTATTTAGATAACAAACCAATTTTTTTTTTTTCCTTTGATAACTGTGTACTAAAATTTTATTAAATATTTACTACTTAATACAAAACTAAGCTATTTAATAATCTAATTAGACTAAAACCCGGCTATCTTTTAAGATGCCCAAGTTTGGTTACCGCACTAATGTTGGTCACCATATCCCACATACAGTGTGATGCATTTAAAGATATGATCTAGCCTGGGCTCAGCTCTTATCAAATATTTACAATTTTTTAGTTCACCAACTTGGTGGGTTAGAACTTAAAATTCTTTGTCTTACCGCTACCTTCAACAAATGTTTTACTTCTGACTCTATTAACTGATCCACCCCTACAACTTTTACTCGCTTATTTGTTCTAGGTTGGTTCTCACCACCACTACTCTGACTAGGTACGACATTCTTCTTTCCACGAGATCTTTTTCTTTCTTTATTTTTCTTTGGTCATTTTTCTTTGGCTTCAATATTATTTTCTTTCTCCCATGTGACAAATTTTCTACATCTATCACTCCATACCAATCTATGAAAGTACTCTTGCATTCCAAAACTAGCTGCTTTTAGAGTTTCTAGTGCTATGGCTTTATTTTCTAGAATATTACTTAACCAAGAAAGTGTGCTGCATCTAAAAAAACCTTTCGATAGAAGACTCCGCATCTTGACTCTCTCGACTAAAGTTGAACTGAGAACAGCTCTCTACAAGTCT